CTGTGTAAAAAAAAAAAAAAATCCATTACAAGATTCAAAAACAGAATGGGCTGACTAAATGGGATCACTGCTTTGATTACTCCCTTAACAGAATCAGAGAAGATTTCTTCAACTAAATTAATAATTAAATCATTTTTACATAGTAACTAAGGATCACAAAATAAGTTATATTCCTCAAATCATACCCATCAGTTAAAATAAGAGGTAGAAACCATTAAAAACAAGCAAATCTCCACAGAAAGTTTTCCACAGACTGCCCTATCCACAGTCAGTCAGTTCATGACACTGATGAAGCATTCACTGTTTATAAAACGCCATACTCTGGGGCGCATGGGTGGCTCAGTTGGTTAAGCATCCGACTTCGACTCAGGTCACGATCTTGCACTTCGTGAGTTCGAGCCCCGCATAGGGCTGGGTGCTGACAGCTCAGAACCTGGAGCCTGCTTCGAATTCTGTGTCTCCCTCTCTCTGCTCCTCCCTTGATCACACTCCCTCCCTCCCTCCCTCCCTCTCTCTCAAAAATAAATAAATGTTAAAAAAAGAAAAATTTAATAAATTAATTAAATAAAACACCATGCTGGGTGCTGCAGGAGAATTCTAAAGAAGCAGACCATGGTCTCAAAGCTCTCACTTAATAGTTAGAAAAGATAAGTAACTTGATAAGAAGAGATTACAAGTTAATGTAGAAAGGTAAAGAAGTTAAATAAGATGAAAAAAATAAGGGAAGAACAATACGTATCAGTGACACAAGACTCTGAGGAAAAGAGTACTAAGTAAGGAGTTTTCATAAATACAAAAGAACCACCTTCTATTTTTCTTTAAACATGGGTCTACCATAACACTCTCTGCTGTAAACAGTTCTTGCTAATCCGTGCTAGTTTTCAGAAGTCTACATCCAAAGTCTCTGTAGATCGGCAGAGGACAGCTTTCATGGAAACCACGTGGTTTGGGATTGGAAGAGGACAGCCCAGCGCAGTGCTTCTTACCCCCAGGGAGGAGCTGGCAGGAACAAGGGATGAGGCTCTGAGACCTCTGTTAGCCACTGATAACCACAGGCCTTCCCTTCAAACTAACACAGATACACACGAAACTTCTCACAGGATGCCAGGGGGTTCACAACTACCAAAGAACCACAGGTTAAAAAACCCCTCGCCCAAAAATAATTCTCTCCTATTAAAAATGGTTGGGTTAAGAGAGAATAAAGCAAAAGTGAGTGCAAGCCTGAAGCTGGACCCCAATAGTGAAAGTTTTCCCCATCCTTCCCTCTCCTTTATTCTTCAAAACGAGTGGCAGGTTTTTAAAACAATGGGATATCCTGAAAGAATGCATACATTCTTCTCCAGTAGATTCAATCTCAACTACACTACGGGTCCCACTCCAGGTTGTTCAGCACCGCTGGAATATACTGGAATCTATGTATTGGGGAAGAATAAAAACATCCCAGCCTACGGAGTAAATCCTTGTACCCACTGCCCAAAGTCCCCAAAAATCCCTGCTTCAGATGAATGCAGTCTCTTCTCCTCAATCCTTTTTCTTTTTGTTCCCAACTCATAAAATGCACTTAAACATGAACCAGAAGCATTTAATGATGTGCATGATATAATTACTTGAACAAGCTTCCTCTTCACTGAAGACATCCTCTCAATATTTATCCATGATGCTGAAACCATGTGGAGAAAGAGAACCACATAAGGAAAGACCAAATTCCTATGATTTTCTCTGCAACATAGAGGACATCTGATGATATGGTATTTAATTTCAATAATTTTAATACTAGTTAAAGCAGGAGTAGAACCAAAGTGGCTTAAACCTCTGAAGATGACAATTCTAATGGCAAATCAAAAACAACAACAACAACAACAACAACAAAGGGGGGGGGGGCATTGATATTTCCAAGTGTGACATCCCAAGAATAGACATTTTAGTTACTGGTTTTGCTTTATACATTAAGAACTAGACACCTCAGGCCACAGAATCACTGCATCCTGCAAAACCAATCCCAGCAGCAAGAAGAGAGAAATACTTAGCAGCCAAGCAGCCATCTAAATTCAGCATGTTAGAGAGGGAAAATGAAACACAACTATAAGCGGGGCTTCAGGCGAGGGGACAAAAGTAATAGAAATTTAGCTGGGAGAAAATGATCTTCACAAAAGGGCACCTATGAGTCACAAAAGACACAAGCAAAGGGCCATCTGAATGTGGCAACCACCTGCGGCAAAAGCGATTGGCAAGGAGATAAATGTAGTTTAAATCAATAAGCCCTTAGATTATGTGGCAGATAGCTACTTATATGTGCGCTAATATGATAGATGGCCTATTAAAAAATAACAAATAAGCAAGGTCTGAATAATAAAATGCCACAGCCCCAAATGACATATTTGTGTAGAACCTTACCTTTCTGTTTGTCTCCTGAAATCTCCTAGAGCATAAACACTGAATGGATCCAATATTAATTAATTTATATGATCTATTTCACTTACATCAGCTGAAAATTAAAAGGCAATTTAAAAGGATAATATAATCAACCGTGAAGACTAGTCCAATAATCACAAAAGCCCTGTGAGGTCAGAGAGAATTATTGGTGCTTTGTGGAAAAAGGCTTGTACAAAAATAAAGTAGCTGAAATTCAGCAAGGGCCTCACACCACAATTAGAACAAAATGTACATATTTCTAAACTACCAAACGCTACCAAACTCCTCCCTTGTATCTACAGTGATGGAATATGTACTCACCATGTAGGTTTGAAAACACTTTATAATTAGAAACACTTGACTCTCTTACCTAGTTCTGTTTGATTTTTTGCTCTGAGGATACTTACCAAGTGAGGATTTCTTGAACCCGGTTTTAAAGACCCTTACTGGCAGGACAGTGTTAAATATTAAGACTTTCACATAATTGAACCCATTATTTCTACCAAAATCCTACTGGTCCCAATTGGTCTCTATTACACGCATAGATGGGGAAGGAAGGAAAGAGATATGGATGTGTAGATATACATGCCTAAGTGCATAGAAACCGTGTCTGTGGTTTGAGGCTAAGCAGGGATTCATGGAAGGTTTAAGTAAGACACGCTGGGACTCATGGAACGATTAACTAAATGATATCTCAAGTCCTTTCAAGCTCCACAATTCCATGATTCTATCAACTTAGTCTAAATCTCTACATCTCCAGTTACATGGCCCATAGCTAATTATGTGCACCTAGATTATAGATAGCCCATTTAAAAAAATAACAGATAAAGTGAATAATCCATTTAAGCTCGTAAGTGTTCTATAAAAGAAAACCACCTTTTGTTTCCCAGTGAGTACAGGAAGCAATGTAGACCAGTATATAACTGCTTTCTTTTCTCAGTATGTTTGGTAGGAAAATATCAGTAACACATGCCACGGCTATATACAAATGTTATCAAATTTGCACAAGAAACCTGGTAATACACTTTAACTTTGTATTGAATAAGCTTTATTATTTGACTTAGCATTTATACATGTTGATTGAGTTGTAAAATAGTGGTGGTGTTTACCACAGAAACTCCTGGTAGATGTCATTCCTCATACTATGCACGGTACCTAAAGCATGTAAATTTGATATATATGATTTTGGCCTACATACATAACTTCATTTACCTGTTGCATATAAGAACATTATATAACAGGAGAACTGTGTCACTGTTGAACGGAATTCAATATAAAAAGGGGACTTGAAAAAAATTACCAAGCCTAATTTGACCAATAAAGTATCAAGAGAATTACACATCCAAAATGCTGCCCCCAGAGATGGGAATCTGGCCTCAGAAGAGTAACAATACTCTCAGGTAGAAAATAAGAAAGTTACCACCTAAAAATAATTCTGTGCTTCTGGTCAAAATGGCACTGTAAAGTCGTACTTGAGACATCCAATCTCAAAACACAGGTATACATAAAGTATAGATTAAGAAATTAAAAAAATAGTCTGGTTCAAAATTGAGAGTAACACCTCTGTGGACAAGAAATGGAAGTGAGGAGTGGAGCCAAAGTATGTATCCAGTGACCTGTGTGTGGACAAGCAGGCAGAGGCAGGCAGGTTTTAGCCCAGGGGTGTTACAGAGACTTAACACGCACCACTAGCCATATGAGCTGACAAAATCCTCCATTAAGACTGCAGGAACAGGACCAAATCCAGCTCTAGACCTGGGTACGCTTTTGGCCTCTTCAAATCCTTATCTTCCATTCATGTCCCAGTGGAGATACTTGGTCAACCCTATACCTTAAATACCATTTGTTTCACCAATAAAAAATTACTTCTAACATCTTTTATTTAATGCACCCACTGGTACAGATCGAGAGCGCAGTATACGATGCACTGGTCGCCTCTGGAGTATAGAATCTTGATTAGGGTCTTTCAAATGTTAACTATCTCTGAAGTGTGAATTCCTGATTAAGGTACTTCAAAAATGTTAACTAAGCACCCCTAAGGTGCAGATTAAATTATTCCGAAGGAAACTACAGACAGTATAACACCCCACTCCAGAAAGGAGACTGACAAAAAATATTGCCAACTGCTACTTGGGCTGTCATTGACATGGAGCTAGGGGTTTTTCCAGCTGCAGTGTAGGAATAGTTTCAATTCAGAAGTGGAGATGAACCCCACACTGCAGTGAGGTTGGAAAGCACAATGAATGAACACTGGTCCCTCCACAACTGAAAGTGGGCTAAGGGGGAAATGATGGTACGTTTGAAGGGGAAGGTAGAGTGGAGGGAGGATTATTAGGATAAAAACCAACAAAACCGACACCTGTTCAGTTTCCCTTGGGACAGCACTGAATGTACATTATCTCTTTTTAGAGCAAGGAGGATGCATCTTTGAAAGTCAAGGAGTAGCCACCAATGGAAAAGTGGCTACTAAAAATATAACAGGGATACAGGAGAAGAGAAGAGACAAGGAGGAGACGAACAAATTCATACTTTATATTAATATTCAATAATATCTAAGGCTTTATAAGTTCAATTGCCCAAAGAGATAG